GATAGGTTTGCGAGTTTCTCGAGTTAGAAACGCAGAGTGTGACGATCGTTCGAGTGAGACGATCCTCAGATGATACCAGATGATACCACGTAAATTACTCCGTTTCTCTACTTACGCATCGAACCCTGTCCAACTCGACTCGCGAGATCGATTCTTGATCGATCGATTAACGAGTCTAGCCCGACGTCGACTAATCGTCCAATTAATTTCACTGCCGTTTAACAGACAGCAGGCCTAAGCCAATGGAAAAACTCCGCGCGTGTTTTACGTACATACGTTCGAAACGGTCACGCAACATTAGAAATCTGGTCTTCCTTCCAGAAGTTGAAAATAGACTTTCCAGCGTTTTTCACCTCCCGGAGTGGGTCACGGAAGTATTCGAATGTTTTCACGCGCTATACTTGTGCTTCGAAATTGAAGAAACTGTACAATTCATGTAAGAAAGTTCCTAAACTCTTATTACGTGAACCAAAAATTAAATTAATAGAGGGGAAAGGATTATACGAATCATACAAAGTGCGTCGGAGTAATACGTACAAACGGGCACAAAGTGATTCTTCGTAAAAAAATAAGAAAGAAAAGTAAAATTTTGTTACTCGAGGCTTCGTTTTTCGAGACAATCGAAAGTTTGAAAAAGAAATGAGAACCTTCTTGAAAATTATATATTCAATCGAGGCGAATAATGCGCACGATTTATAAGAAAGAAGATTCAGAATGGATTTTAGATATTTTCGAGCGAGTGTCGAGATACTCTTATGTTTGTACAATTTTAAAATATATTAAAATAATTTATAAGTAAATAATAATGTATAAATAATTTATATTTTGCAAAAATTTGTATTAACTTTTGCTGTATTAATAAAATACGCGTACAATTTGAGAATTGCATTATCTACGATAGATATTGAATTATTAAAAATAAAACGTCTTCCAGTGCTTTTGAGTGAGAATATGTAAGTGTTATGTAAAACATTCGAAAATTTCACAGTCATTGTAATAAATAGAATAGCAGAGGTTTATGCAATATAATGCATTTTTATGAATGTAACTGAAGAAAACTTGATAAGGAATAAATGTTTTACTTACCAAGTGTTACAATAAGTATAATATTTTGGACATTTCGTGTGTTGCACATGTTCCATGGATTTTTAGAACCTTAAATTTCCGCAGTCTAGCAACGAAATACGTTTTGTCGTGATTAAATTGATAAAATTTGAAACCAATTTGAAAATGTCGATAAAAGTAATAAGAAATTTGTTACAAGTATATATATATATATACGTAATAAAAAATTACTGGACGATATGAATAATAGATTTAAACATATAACTAATGTTGATCCCATAAAATATTGTAGTACGTTAATGATTTGGCCATGTATTTGAAAAAACGATTATTTAAATAATATATTACATGGGCCATATAATATGTTATTTGATTCAATGTTTAAAACAAGCAAATAGTTTATCTTTGAATTATTTTATTATTTTGTTATCAAGTGAAATAATTTTTTATTTTCTTTTGTATTTGTTTCATCAAATAATTTAAAAAATAAGTATTTACTTTAAAAAATAATTTAAGAAATAATTTCTGTTGCATCTGTCTCCATCTTATGATAGACTGTTTCAAACAAAAGATTATTTGGAACTAATCTATGTCATTTGGACACATTTGGGATAAACTCACTTTTCCTATATTATTTCCAGAATAAAAGTATTACAATCAGTGGCAACGGTTGTTTCAAATTGTTATTTTTTTCATCTTCGTTTGCCCAGTCTTGTATTAATGTAACGAACAGTCGATCATTTGAACACTATGGAACTAAGTATTTTACAATTTTTCTTACATTATATTCTCAGATTTTCTATTTTCACCGCAGCACCAATGAAAGTTCAAAACGTTCCATGTCTATTTTCCTTTTTCTCAAATTGTCATAACTTTAGTCTACTCTCATTTTTGCTTCCTCTCTCCTCCTCGAATTACGAGGAAACGCAGTGAATAATGAAATAAAGCGTGCGTGCAGAAACCTAATGGTGTCTGATTACGGCTAAGACGCTTCCTTTTTTTTTTTTTTTTTTTTTTTTTCCCCGGGGGGCAACAGGATGTTTCAGAAAATATTGGCACACTCTTTTCTTTTTTTTTTATTTTTTTTTTTTTTTTTTTTTTTTCACCCGCGTTCTCGTCTCCGGTACGGAGACTCTCCGAACACCTGCCTCCTCGTCTCGGATACCGTTAATCTACGTATTAAATGTGGTTTCATTTCCAATGCATCGCGAATATTGCCCCTCTGCTCGCCGGTAATCATCGGTTATTAAGATCGCGCACGGCAGGCAAGATGTTGGCGTCGTGTACGAGCACGAGGAGTGATCTACGTTCGCGGGTTTGACGTTGTACCAGATTCTTGCGCTAGATATTCCTCGATAACGTTTGCTCGATGTTTCCATGTACGTACGTGGGTTAAGCGCCGCGCTTTTATCGGGAATATACGCGGGTAGGGTTTCGGTTGTTCGTCGAGCAATCGGTTTATTCGATTTTACGCGATTTCAGCGTTTAATCTTCCTTGCGCCGGTCTCTCGCGAAGTGGCTTTTCTAGTCGCTCGGTTATACGACGTGGCTGAATGCCAAGTATCACGAGTTGACTTATGAACGAGAAAGACGCGATAAATTCCTTTTTATTTTTTATTTTTTTTTGAAGATTTTTCGTGCGATTGAATTAGTTTAATATCGCGTTTTTGATAGTGATTAAATTATTTCTTGTGCCGGGCGATTAAAAGGGCAATTTAAGTGTGCTTTTAGGTTTATTACGTACAGTTCAAAAATTCGGAGCAAAAGGTTTTAAAAGAAATAGTAGCTTTAAGTAAATGTTATTTTTAAATAAATACTATTATAATACTATTATATAATACTATTATAAATACTATTATACTAATATTATTAGAATAAATTTTACTACTATAATACTATTATAATAAATTTTACTATTATAATACTATTATAATAAATTTTACTACTATAATACTATTATAATAAATTTTACTAGTATAATACTATTATAATAAATTTTACTAGTATAATACTATTATAATAAATTTTACTAGTATAATACTATTATAATAAATTTTACTAGTATAATACTATTATAATAAATTTTACTAGTATAATACTATTATAATAAATTTTACTAGTATAATACTATTATAATAAATTTTACTACTATAATACTATTATCATAAATTTTACTACTACAATACTATTAGAATAAATTTTACTACTATAATACTATTATCATAAATTTTACTATTATAATAAATACTATTATAATAAATTTTACTACTATAATAAATACTATTATAATAAATTTTACTACTATAATACTATTATCATAAATTTTATTATTATAATACTATTATAATAAATACTTTATAATAAATTTTTGTATTGTTCGTAACACTATTTTTTGCATTTAAAGATGAAAACTATGATTGTAAAATATTGAATAATCTTTTCTTTCTGTAATTATAATTATTAAATGTCCCCGTTTCTCAGAGGAATGTCTGTTTCGCCTGAAAAGTAAAGAGTGCTCCAAATGTTTTAGACGTCTACATGATATTCACTTGAATATGAAGAAACGAATTAAAAAAGCATGATATTATAATAATTGAATATATTCAGTACAGCTATTAACCTAGAAACCTAAATAAGTTATTTGAAATATATCAATCTAAATAGATCATTTGAAAATTATTCGTTAGTATAGTAGAGTACGATATTATAGAGAATAAAAATGCGACCTAATAATAAACGTGTCGATATACGATATACATAACTGAAAAAAAGAGTAATCTGTTGATTTCGAAAAACAATATACAATTTTATCAGTGTGCAATGAAACTTAATATGTATTCTTATTTCGTGCATTATTGTTGCGTATCTCATGTCCATTCGTTCTTCTTTTTGTACAATATCTTGACGTCTTCCTGAATCGATCACCGTTCTGTCCTTGTCCGTGCAATGTTCATGGATTAATCATCCTGCCATACAACCTAATTGCACGCCGCGATACTCAGAATTTATTATACTTGGCCGGAGTGATCTTACGGGGTTTAAAGTTACACAGTCGGACAACGGTTCAATTGAAGCAATACTTCATTAAACACAGTGAAAGTTGCGCAAATATTGCTCGGTGGAAACGATAAGAGATATAATCAGGCAGAGGGGGATTGCGAGCGGCGAAGTATGCCTCTTGACTGAGTAACGAGCGACGAGGAGCGTTATTGGAAATGCGTTTCTCGGAGCAACGAATTTAGATAGTGTTCGCCGTGGAATGTTGGCCAAGCAGTTGCTACGATACGCTAGATTTACTCGGTTATTCAATAAAAAAAAAAAAAAAAAGGTGAAACAAATCAGGTTAAAGACTTTTTATATTATAATATAAAAAAACGTATATATGTGTATATACTGGATATCCCTCACACCCATTCTTTGTATTGATTTGATATGTCTTTCTTATAACACATTATATAAATATTTCCAACATATAATATACTTTATGGTGTACATATAACATATATTTTTATTATTTTTGATAACAAAATATATTGTCAGAGTTGTAAATAATATTTCTTTTCAAGTACATGTTGATAGATAATACATTGCTTTCTGATCATTATTATATTATATTATATTATATTATATTATATTATATTATAGTGTAGTATATTATAATTAAGTATCCAATGTATCAGTAATTATAACATAATTGCAACAAGTCTGAAACAGAGAAACTAAAATTACGATATGAAATTGACTTATACGTAAAAGTAAGATTTTCGTGAAGTTTACACGCAATTGAAATTTTCACTTATTCATTTTTAATAAAAGAAATTTCCATAAAACTTGCAAATTTCACTATTTATCTTTTCATTGTGGATATTAGCTTTTGATTTCATTGTGTCAATTCGACACCAAGGAACGAATTAAGTTAGAATAATGAGGATACGAAGGTTAATCCTAATTATTAATAAATTTACGAATTTAATAATCCCAGGCTAGAGAAATAAATTTTATTTAAATTTGAAAAGCAATAATAATTTATATTAATATATTATAATTCGTATAAAATGAGTAAATTCAAACTTCCTTTCGAGCTGATTTTGCCGGTATCCACGCGATGCTCCTCGAGTGTTTCGATCATTTGAACAAACCGTTGCCAAGACCGTGTGGTGAATTTTGTAACGGAACCGATCATTTGCTGTTCAAAGTACATACGAAACCGGGGTCCCGACGAAATCCAAGTGTATCATTTAATACAGTTTCTAATAATAAGGGAACGCAGTGGCCAATAATTTCATCCACTCTCGTATATTTATGAGCTTAATGCCACTCTCTTCCGCGATCGAACCGGCTAGTATAAATTAAACCTACTGTTCTTAACGTTCGGTCACCAATGTAATAGGATTATATGTACAGGATGATAAAGTTTATACAGGGTGCGTTGGAATAATTTGTATGAGTGGTCACGAGGATGAACTCTCACAAAAAAGAATAAGAAATATATATATATATATATATATATATATTTGTATATAATATGTATAATATAATACATACATATATATTATATATTAATATGTAAATTTTTTGATTTGGGACTTCGTTTCTGAGGAAATCGAATTTGAAAGTTTGTCAGATACACGTGCACCAATTTTAACGAAATATGTTCAGAGTCTTTTTTGAAAATTGAAGCTTTAAATGAAAAATATTTTATTGTATATATATTTATTTTACGCCTTTTGTTAATTATTGTTTTCTGTCTAAATTCAAGTATACTCAATAAACTTTCAAACTAGATCTTTTTGAAAACAAAGCGTCGAATTAAAAAATTTTAATCTGTACTTAATTTTCTTGTTTCATTTTCCATCCTGTATATCTATATATAATAAAAAATTTATCCGATAATGTAATAAATATATAAGATCACAATAATATATATATATATATAGTTAATTTCACTGGATATTAAGGTTTATTAATTTAATGGATAATCAATTGCTTAAATCATTTATACAATTTCTGGAGAACATATGGTTATAACTCTAAAGAATCGTGCGTATTTTGTATATATCTATACGTCGTTCGTATTGAGCAATATTTTGCTTTGTTACGAGCAACGTTTCGCTCGCTGATCACAGGTTAAGAACTTATCTGAACAGCAATCGAGAAAGTTATATTTTGTAATATTTTCAGCGTGTACTGTCTATAAATTTTTATTAAAATGTGTTTCTAATATTTACCAACTATTTTCTAACTTTCATACACTATATATAGAGAGTGATTCACGTAACGTGCACACCTGAAATAACCTGAAATTTTAAATTATGTGTCTAATGAACAATTATCTAGTACAAAAGTTTTACGATTTTAAACGTCTGTACTAATAGAACGTAACACGTAAACTGTTCGTAAAGGTTTCCTAGAAGTGTTTGAATCTGAGCGCTATTCACGCGTATCAAAATTAATAACGCTGTTACAATTTTTATTTCATTTATCAAACCCGCGAGCCCAATCTCATCGACTCCACGCGCGAGTTTCAAAATTAGGGGCAGTGAAGTTGTTAATTAAATTCAACGTTATTCCAGCGATTAGCATAATTTTATCGAAGGATCTTTTTCGTTTCATTGAACTTTCCCAACTCGTAACGCGTTACGCCGCGTGGATACACGATCGAAGAGGAAAACTCGAATCACTGTCGATTTCTTTTCCACTGACGTTTAATTAAATCTAGCCTGCTAATGAAGGTCGGGGCAATTTTCACAACGTCGAGGATCTCTTCTTTCCTTTCCGCGTCTCCTTGTTTCGACTAACTCGAACAGCTTAATGGCAGAGGCTGTAAAATCAGGTGTAATTTTCCGAACGCTGTAATTACAGCGTAATTTTTTTATCCGTTGCCTGTTCAAGTCTTAGAAAAAAGAAAACAAAATCTCGAATCGCCCCTGTTGCATTTCTATTTCAGACGATTTCCTTCGACTGATTCGATTCGCTCGAAATGCGGATGGCGATATATATAGATGATCGGTATTCATTATACGTAGCTTGAAATAATTGGAGAAAAAGGTGTAATTTATAGAATGGTCTAGCAACTAATGCCGATCTATTTATCTTTTTCTTCTTATTTCCTATCTGTGATGTGCAATCTCATCCTTATCGACCTCGTGTTTCTTATTCTTTTGCAATAAATCTACGATCTTTGATTATCAAATTTGGACCAAATACGGAAATTTTTGCTTTTCTAATTGCACACTGACGCATTATGTATGATAATTGAATCGTTAGTAGTTGTCCAAATTATTTTTTTTTTTTTTTGTTGGAGTATTAAAATATAATTTATTGTAACAGTTACGACATTGTGTAACAATTGTTTGATTTAATTTACTTTAATACTATATTTACTTTAATACTATAACATACTACGGTCTCCAGTTTAAGAATAGAAATTCAAAATATTTATTAACATAATGATTATCAAATTATTAATTTTTATAACATCCTAATAATTAATTATTAGTTTTATATTAATTTAAGAAACACTTCGTTATAAACACTTATATTTTTTTAAATTTTTCACGAATTTGTAGAATCAAATTAGAGGAAGAAAATATTAAAGAAACAAAATTCAATATCGATCGAACAAAATTGCTTGTATAGTAAAATGTTGCATTAAAGTAACGTTGGTCTTTAACGAATAAATAAAGTAATGAAATTAGATCATTGAATTCTTGATTCATCAATCAAAAAAAATGCGAATTTTATGCATTTATGAAAAAATTGAATGTTACAAAATTATATACATATAGCATACAAAATAGAGTATATTATAATATATAAATGTTTTTAATATTTATATATTTATAATATTTATATATTTATGATATTGATGTATTTTAATATTTATATTTTTAATATTTATATATTTATGATATTGATATATTTTAATATTTATATATTTATATAATTTGTAATATTTATATATTTTAATATTTATATTTTTAACATTTATATATTTATAATATTTATAATATTTATATATTAATAATATATAAATAATTTTATATATATATATAATTAATATATAATAAAATAATTATAAATATTTTCAATATTTTTAACACTTTTGTTCCCTTAGTGATGTTCATAAAAATTTCAAATTTCTAGTAATTGGGGACTGTGAAATAACCTTAATACAGAAATTCTTCAAGGATCGAACGAATTTTATTGACAAACTCGCCGTCGTGATACTGTTACGACGGAGCAAGGCTGCGCACGAGTGCACCGTAGGTTAGGTGTAGAAGCTAGGGGAAAATTGAGTTGCAGGTATCGCGATTACATCGAGTAGATGGGGAAATATTTATGGATCGTGGAGCGCGGAGTGACTGGAAGCCAGCCCAGCGAGGGACGCGGTTCTACACGCTTTCCAGAAACTCGCGAGAGAGGATACGTGTGTAATATCGTTGCTGGTACGTCGCGTTGGTACATTGTTGCGTCATTTGCAGGCCGCGTGGCGTGTAAGTGAAAGGAAATCGAATATTTTCCCTTTCTTATTTCCTTTTTTCTTTCTTTCTTTCTTTCTTTCTTTGTTTCTTCTCTTGTTTCCCTCGTGTTTCTATCTCGCCGCATTTAGAATAGCGCGTACGCTCGCGGCGATCGTGCATGCCACGGAGTGCAAGGTCTCGCACGGCGAAAAGTTTCGCCGATTCTCCGATGAAATTCCAGAAGAACGTTCCTTCATTCGCACAGCTAATTCTACGAGCGTGAAACTACTCGAACGAATGTTTCTTTTTTTTTTTTTTTTTTTTTCATTTCGAACACATTTCTCGCGAAAGCTAAAGCTACGATTTACTTGAATATCGAAAATTATAGGAATTATTGTATGAAGCTACGTTGAAGCTATGTGAAAATTTGCATCATCTTTGAGTAAAAAAAATTGCATGTGGAATTTCATGTACAGAGATTAGAAATATGCACAATATAAAATTTGCATTTTCTATTTTTTTTTCCTTTTTTCTTCCAATTGATTTACATTATGCCTGTGGAAAATTAATTCCTTATTCGTTTGTTATTTTTTCTTTTCTTTTTTTTGTCATTACTTTGTGAAGTCTCAAAAATTCTGAAGATTATATGTATGAATCATTGCTTGGTATTATGGAACTTGATAGAATCTTGAGTGAGGCTGGATAGGTGTAGTTAGAAAGGAGGTAGTTAGATAGTAACTTGACGAGCTATACGGTCTTAGAAAACTGACTGCATTGTTTGATAAATTACGCCGATAATAGGTATTCATACGTACTTGTTTGCGCTCGAGAAATTTGTATTATAACTTCGATTTTATTATTTGTTATACGTACTTCTAATTATATAAAATCGGTTATCAAACCTGTCATCTTTTCAAACAACTCGCAGAGAACGAAACCCATTCGTTTTGCCCGAAAATTCTCAGGAAAGAACGATATTTTTAACTTCTCTAATTCTACTCGAGAAATATTACTGTACTTTTAATTGTAAACTGTGTCATCTCTTCGAACAAATTGCAAAGAACGGAACTGATTCACTCTATTTGAAAATTCTCGGAGAAAGAATGACGAATCTTGGTCGAGAATTGAGGAAGTTCCAACGATAAAGAAACTGTGTCGTTCTGAACAAGCCGGAATTTCATTTAAAAGAAAAAAAATTATTAGTTGCAAATCGACTATTTACTCCAATTATTGTGGCTACTAAAAATATTTGCCATCACATATTAATCAAATTCTTGTTCCAAACATTTTTATGATAGTGTAACTTCTTTATTTAACAATATAATAAAAATTTAAAAACTCTTTATTTTATAATATTTTATAAATATTTTAAATACTTTATAATATATAATAAAAATTGTATTGTAGGCATTATTCTAATTATTATAATTGTTATAATATTTATATATATTATAATTAATATTATATATAATTATATTTTTA